GCGGTACATTTAATGCAAATGTACTAAATGACAATATAAGTTATTTGATGCAAAATATCTTTTAAAATGTCGAGAAAAGTAAACTTTGGTGTGTCATTATATTCAAGAAAAGTTTAAATTTAATTGGTAAATGTAGTGCCATGTAAACAAACCAACTCTTATGTTTTCTCTAAAATCTCCGTAGAATCAACAATGTCAACTTCATTCAGATATTCAAAAAGGAGTGTTTTTTTTCTTAAAATGTACATTGGCTAATGATATCATTTTCGAAATGTTCTAAAGCATAAAATTGATGGCTATCACACCTAAATTCGGAATATCAGACTGTATTTTGGTACTGATGTCTTTGCAAATTCTACGACTGAACACTGTTTGCCTGTTTCCATTTTTTAACCCCCACATAGAGGAAGTTTGTACTTCATTCAACCAACTTTAACTCTTTCTTGCAAAAAAACTAAAACTGTAACTCAGTTGTAGGTCATTCGCTATTTTATGAAAAAATTCACAATTTTTGGAAGATGGTTGCTTTAAGTGATTCGCCATTAGCCTGTTTTGGAGGTAATATGTTAGTGTGGTTAAGCTTGATTCTGTGCCACGGTCTCAACGTATATCTAAGAAAAATTCCACCAAACTAAGTCTGAAATGTCTTCTTTGATCATCAAAAAATTATCACTTGAAATACTGGTTACACTTTTCTGAACTTTTCAGCAAATATTTGAGAACTGCCAAAAAGAAATATGACAAACCTGAAATTCGACATTATTTTTATGAAAGAAGATAAGAAAGATGTCTTTCATCTTATGAAGTATCTGATTAAAATACACCTGCTTTACGAATCCGAATATTTCCATAATGTTAAACTATTTTAAGTTTGTGTTCTTTTGGAAGGTCTGCGTGCGTGGTATATATTATACCAACCACTTTCTCGTTGTTTTGGATTTGTTTTGTTCGGTCCATTTTGTTCCATTCTATTTGAAGGTTAAAATGACAGCTGCGCCAATTCATTGAAAAGGGAATATTTTAGCTTAGCCAATCAGTGATAGTGTTCACAGCTGACTGTCGAAAGTTGAGCCTTCAAATCCATGTGTGATCAGAATTCTCCTCCTCCCCCCACCCCAAAAAATGGCGCAACTGTCCCTTTAATTATGCCATTTGTCGCGCATTTATGTTTTTGCGATTGATAATATCTGTAATCAAATCGAGTTAATTGCTAATTTTGGAGCATATGTTCGAGCATAGGTAAAGATTCGTGTATTATCATCAACATTTCGTCATGATGACTTATTAAGTGTAAGATGTTGAACACTCATCAAGATGTACATGTAGATAGGGCCTACTAAACTGCATGCGTGTAATGGTTCACAAATGTTACTGTCATTTAAATAGACACATCATATTGTTGACATCTGGATTTCCGACATTGTTGGTCGAAAAATCTGAATGGTCATTTTGTCAACAAGGAAATCATATTTCACCAAGTATGTCATTTGTCGAAATAATAATCTTGTATACGTTGAAATAATAAATTAGGTGGATTATTTCTCGCTTGAGTTGGTCTGGCTGGTTTCAAGGTCTCCAAACACTCTAAGTCTTATTTTAGCCACTTACTACTTTGAAAACAAACACGTAGATTGTGTTTGAAATAATATAAGATGACAATAGTCTCTATTTACCTAACAGTTATAGCATTATTTACATCACGTATATTCTCCAGTTATTTGTTTCAACTTGCACTATATTTTTGTATAACAAGTTGCATATTTCAAATAATTGTATGTTACAAGTTGTGCAAATGACAATGACACTACTGTATTGAAGAAAGACCATCTGAACAGAAGGCATTGCGGTTCACTATGGCTCTCAACAACTTCTCTGATTCTGCGTATTCTAATCAAGCTGCCGGAGCGTGTTTTAGATACCATGACAGATAGTTTTTGAAACTTGGGATTTACGAAAATTGGAGTGAAAGCGTTAAAAGCATATAAGCTATCTCATTGAACAGGACCGAGAAGTCGACCATGTCTACAAAACGAAAACCATGCGTCAACTGGGCGATTTGCTTTACGTTATTAATGTGACGTAACACCATAGCGATTATTAGTTGCGAATGGTTGCGAATAGTGGCCATGAGTTCTGAACACAACTCACAACTCAGATGCATGAAGGTGATGCTTATGTCAGATGTATGTACTTTTACTTTACCCAAATACAAACGATACCCTTAGTAGTGAGACTTGTTTGAAATGAATACCATTATCTAAAGTGTCCTATATCTCCATGACAGAGAATCTGTGAATAGTATTAAATACGAATAAAGAAAATATCCCCTACTGCTATCCGATCTCTTTTTTATTGATCGCATTCTTTATATTTATCCGAGGTCAGTTATACCCATCTGTAGAATACTCATTCAATTTACATAGATTGTTCATTACAAAAAACACAAATCTCAATAGTTAACGAAATCGTATCTTTAAATGCAACTATTGCTGAAAAAGTTAAAATTATCAAGTAACGAAAAAACATTTAATTTGGTATTTTGTAGACACATGTTAACAGAAAGAGCGAAATTATGTAGAATAGTTCAGTTAAATTCAGACTGTAGATGATTCTTTTTAAAAATGATATTAAACGCGTCAGCTTTTGTCTCGGTGATAAAATTGAACTGTGATATTATGAATGTCACATACAGAATATGGCATAAAACACCGAAACACCGTGCTTAAAAAGTAAACGTTTTTCCTAATATAGAAATTTAATATGTGATGCATCATTCATTGAAATTTTATTGGGTTAGTTTTTGACATGCTTCGTTGAACAAAGGAATTTCAAGGATAGAAAATATTAAACAAAATCTGTAAAACGTTGATTTCTTTAATGAATAGGCAATAGGATAGAAAAGCGCACTACGGGACACCGTGCTCATAATACATTTTTTTCACATTACAATATAACTAATAGCCTGTTCCCCGTTTCAGACGAAAAATTGTCCCTATTATTGTGTAAATTCAAATATAACAAACTAGACTGCCGATTTTGTTTAGGGCCTTAATCAACTCGACTAAAAACATCAATGAACATTTGTAAAGAATTTAGAATTTATGGTATTTCACTATTTCAGTGTTAAATAATGAACATTTTTTTGTTCAAATTTTCAACATTTCTGTTAGTACATGTACACCCCAAAATGCAGAGTAAAATGATTTTGACAGTCATGTGAAAAATTTATGTTTTCTGTTCATTGAATAACATTCACCACAATGTAGTTATTGAAGAAACTACTACTAACAAACCTTCTTGTTACTGAACTATAGTAATGTCAGTTTAATGAATGTCCTTTCTGAATATCGCTCTACAGTTATAAAGGCCAGATATATTCAGTAATTGTTACAAACTTTGGCTTACACATTTGCCATTTTATTGAATATATGAATATGGGTCAAATTAGATCTCAGAGCTCTTTTTTAGCGTTAAGAATTTATTATCAATATCGTTATGTCTAGGACATTGAGCCTTGGGGATTTTTTAGAATTACTTAAACATTTATAAATTAGAGCAAGTGGCACAGTTTTTAAGTAAATGGAAGATTTCTTTTATTGATTTCAATTTCCCATTTGATAATCTGGGAACAACCTCAGTCAAGGACCAATTGGTAGGAAGAACCTGATTTGTTATCTTTCTTAAATGTTAATTTTGCTTTCTTCTATTTTCCCATTGATTACCAATATAATATGAAATAGAGGATAGAGGATATCATTTAGCATAATAGGTGTAGTTACATTATGTTATTCGTAATGCATTCAGATGTACTGTATGTTAACAATGACATATAAAGTTGACATGAACCAAGAAACTATTTGTTAAAGTTTATGTTGATATAAATTAAGAAATGTCAAATGATTTTAATGATATTCTTGTAACCGGTTATGCACGTATTCAAATTACAATTTTAAAACTTTGTAATGACTAAAAAATAAACACAGAGAACTTATAAGATACATGCAAGAAACGGGTCTTTGAGAACTGAATATGTGTTTTTCAGTTTCGATTTCTGACTGAAAAACGTTGAGGATAAAATGCTCGTGAAATGTTTATCCTTTCAATTTCTGACATCTTTACATCTTTCTCAATCCCTATAATATATATAAAGATCCGTTTTCGAAAAGGGGAGACATTTCCTCATATTTTCAAAGCTTTCTAGCAATTCTTATCAAAGTCGTTTAAAATTGTATCTTTAATGTGCCATATTTTACAATGCTTGGCTATAAATGTTAATCATGTCCTTTTTGTAACTAATATCATGACTACAGAATTCTGTTAAGTAAGAATGTCTATTTGTATATATAATGACATAAACCAATATAATACACTACACTTGTTCTTATTGAAAAAAGTCAAAATCTCCCTATTTGTTAGCCATTGAAAAGCATTCGACCTTTACATCAGATTTTAGATATAGGTCAGATAAGGGTTAAAGATTGTGTTAAAACCATTTTATGATTGATAATAATGTAAAATGTGGGAAACACTTTAATGTCAGTTCTATGCATATTCAGTTCAGGCCCTGTTTAGAACATAAGATGTTTTTGGTCATCTTAATCTCTCTTATCAAGAAAACCACTAGAAATGTCTTTGAAGAAGGGACATGAACAGTGCTTTTGAGTAAACTGTACTAACATTATTTTATAGTACAAATTTGATAAAAAATATTAATAATTAAAACCGAAATTGCATTCAAACCAGATTTTGTCATAGATGTGAGCTAAAATGGGAGTTAAAAATATATCAAAACGATAAATCATACAGTGTTAAAGTAAGAAAACAGGTTTTATGACAACATTCCGTATATCGCCTACATAAATTTGTCTATGTCCTTATTGATAACAAATTTCTAAACATGGCGTATTTATGACCAAAACAGGCCTTGCCACTTACCCAAGAATTTTGTAACAAGTTCGAGTCTTATTTGAAAAATACACATCAAAACAGGCGTAACAACACTAGATTTTTTTTCTATGGTTTTACACCTTTATTTAACATTATCCATCCCACTATGGA